CTTCTGCCTGGACCATTCTTTTTCTAAATAGGTAGGTACACTGGTAATTCTCCGCAAGGACGCTTTGCTCAGAAGTCACCTGAGGGCCTCCTCCCACTCCAATACTTATTTTAACTTTCATCCTAGTAACAACACGCCCACCTCTTGTAAATTCCCTTATTGTGTTTTTCCCCATTGCTACTTTCTAATTATTATGTTTTATTTTGTTTTGTTTTGTTTTGTTTTTTTTTTTTAAATATTTTATTGATATTTTACAGAGAGGAAGGGAGAGAGATAGAGAGTTAGAAACATCGCTGAGATTGAAACATCGATCAGCCGCCTCCTGCACATCTACTGGGGATGTGCCCGCAACCCAGGTACATGCCCTCAACCGGAATCGAACCTGGGACCTTTCAGTCTGCATGCCGAGGCTCTATCCACTGAGCCAAACCGGTTTCGGCTAATTATTATGTTTTAATAATTAATTAGTTCTAATTAATTATACTATGAAGGCAGATATATAATATGATATATTGTCTTCTCCCACTGGAAAGTAAGCTTCATGAAAGAAGCGCTTTTTTTGTCCATTTGACCTCTAATATATCTGAAGTGTCCAGAATGGAGCCCAGCATATAAGGGAATTCAGCAATATTTGACTACATTGACTGGAGAGATCAGGGAACACCTTAATAATGACATGTTGCTCTTTGAAGGCAGCTGAATTTGAGTCTGGCCTAAGAGGCTGACACCAATTTGGAAAGGATGTTAAGTAAGGTTGAGTTAAAGTGGGATGTTTCTATATATATTTAAGTCTTTGCTTGAAAATCTAAAATGACAGCAATGCTCTTTAATTACGCTGAACATGGTTTCTGTTTGCATACCTTCTTACAAATAACTAGGAAGATACTAGTGAGTCTATTTTCAATAAAGCATATTTAATGTGGCAAATCTGATTTGTGCAGGAAGTTAACAGTGTTGTGAAAAATTGTGAACATGATATTCTTAAAATGCCTCTTCATATGTTTATTAGAGTAGTTTCTTTATTTCTTTCATTCTTCTCTTACCTTGATTGCCTGTATAAAGATATAATTATGAGGCCCACCTTTCCTTAGCATTTAAGAAAACTTAGCACACAACTAAATAGTTTCCTGACACAGCAATTCTTAGAAGCAAAATTAAATATATTCACCATTTTTTGCTCTGTTTGATTCGGTCTCAAATCAGGTAATAAAATCTTGAGACATTCTTAGAACAAGACTGCAAATGTGACCACTTAAGTCAGGAAGAGCCCAGCCGATGTGGCTCAGTGATTGAGTGTCAACCTTTGAACCAGGAGGTCGTGGTTCGATTCCTGGTCACATGCCTGGGTTGTAGGCTCGATCCCCAGTGTGGGGTGTGCAGGAGGTAGGCCATTGGAGATTCTATCGATGATGTTTCTCTCTTTCTCTCCCTTCCTCTCTGAAATCAATAAAAATATAATTTTAAAGTCAGGAAGAAAATCTTTAATACTGTGTTTTTATATGGCAGTGGTATTGAAATATATATGTAACTATATTTTTAAATTTTTATTATATGGAGTTTTTGTTTAAGCTTAAGTACTTTTATTTTCTGTTTACAGTAGACTAAAAACAGGAAAACATTATGGAGGCAGATATAATCGCAGATCTTCGACGCAAGCTCAAAGAGGCTGAAGAAGAGCGACTAAAAGCTGCACAATATGGTTTACAACTGGTGGAGAGCCAAAATGAATTGCAGGCACAATTAGATAAATGTCGGAATGAAATGATGACCGTAACTGAGGTAGGACCCGACTCCTCTGTTTATAAGGGTATACTTAGCTATTGAAAATTTGTGCTGTCTAGCAATTATTGTAAATATTATTTTTATTCTTTTCTGAAGATTTTAGATCTAGTTCCCACCCACTCCCATCTCCAATAAAGAGGAATGAACTAAATGAATTCCTAATGTTCTTTCTGACCCAGGGTGTTCTGACTTTGGAAATTAAGTTATGATTGCTCTCTTCACCACATACTAGATTTTAGATTTTGTTTTGTCTGTACTGTTCGTAGGTGGCTTCGCTTGTTTCATAGCTTTGGATGACATCTAAATGCTCTATGACACTATACCAAGTCCTTAGTTCTCCACTAAAGTCTAGACTGTGTACTCAATTGCCTGCTAATGGGCATCTCAAACTTAATATAAACAGAAGAGTTGGCTTTTCTTGCAATTTTCTTTAACTTATTCAGTAAATGTAATAACATTCATCTAGTTGCCTGAGCCAGAAATGTAGTGGTTTTACTCAGTATTTTTTTCCCCTTTTTTCTCATATTTAATCCATTAGTAAGTTCCAGGAACTTGACTTACAAAACATTTCTTTATGCTATTGCCACTCTAGTCCAGACCACCATCCTCTCTCCCTAGGCTAGATTATTACACTAGCCTTCCAACCAGGTTGCCTGATTTTCTCATTTCTGTTCATAAGACTCATTCTTTACTTAGCAGCCAATTGGTCATTGAAGAATATACAAAAGATCATGTGACAGCCCCTCTACAAACATACACTGGCTTCCAATTATATTTACAACAGAATCTGAGCTCCTTACCTGCGTTTTGCAGATCACTGTGTGATCTAAGCCCTGCCAACCTTTGACCTTATCTCAGACTACTTTCCTTTGTTCTTAACTGTACTAGTCCTGCCTTATGGACTGTACACGAGCTGTTGGCTCCATCTGAGTTGTTGATACCCCCCTTGCATAGATTGAGTTCTTAACCTTCTGGTTTCTGTAAGATGTCACCTCAGTGGAGATGCCTTTCCCTGACTATATAGGTTGTCCCCCAAAATGCATACACACACTTTGAATAATTGTAAAGGCAGTGTTTATTAAAATACATTCTTTTAAAAATTGAGCTATGAGATGTTAAAATGTATATACCTGGTACATTTTTTGGGGACAACCTGTATATTGTAAAGCTTCCACCATTCACTCTGTTAATTCTCTGTAGTGCTAATTACCTCCAGAGTAAAAGCACCATGAAAGAGGACATTTTGTCTGTCTTGTTCACTGTTTTGTTTCCAGTGTTTGGCACATATTTATGAGAAAAGGAGTAAATCAGTTTTATTTAGTATATGCTCGGTAACATGTAAACTGATCTCAAATTTTAAACGTAGCAGGCAAAAATAACTAATAGCAACTCTTGTTTTTTAATTTTCTCTTTTTATTTAATCTAATTTTATTTCGTCTTACTAAAAAATACTTTTATTGATTTTTAGAGAGAGAGGAAGGGAGAGGGAGAGAGAAACATTGATGTGAGAATGAAACATTGATGGGCTGCCTCCTGCATGTCCCCTACCGGGGGTGGAACCTGCAACCCCAGCATGTGCCCTAATGGGGAATCAAACTGGCAACCTTTCCGTGCACAGGATGACACCCAACCAAATGGCCACACCAGCCGGAACTTTTAAATCTTATTTTTTAAAACTTGTTGAAGAAGTTTGAATTGATGGCCCTTTTATCTTTAAGCTTTCTTGTCAGTAAGCAAAAGTCCAATTAAGTACTCCTTTCATCTCAACACTGTATTAATTCAAAGAGTCATTTGTGAACATTCCTTAGAGAACTACATTCTAAAAAGTAAGGGCTGACTTAGTATTTTACTTTACCCTTAGTCCACTGTTTTTTCATTTTGTTCAGAGCCACAAGTAGAGCATATCATTATCAAACCAAGTAATCCTCACAAGGAAAACTTCAGTGGTATTAAAAATTTTTTTTTCCTAGCAGAGATTACTTAACACACTGATATGCCATGGTATACTTCTTACTTCCTTGACAAGGTTTCAAAGCAATTACCATATCCCTAGAATGTACTTGAATATAGTCTCAAAATACTCCTTAGGGAGATTTTAATTTTTTAAGATTGATTAGCTACATAGTTATTCCAGATTTAACATGTGGTTGTTGCTTAGAAAACAGCGAGTGTATAAAGCAGAAATGAAACAATTGAAGGTGAGAACTGCTTATATGTGATGGCTTGTTATTTTTATGCAATTGAATTGTAATTGAATCTGCTTTCAGAATTATGAGCAAGAAAAATATACTCCTCAGAGAGAAGTTGAGCTCAAGAGTCGAATGTTAGAAAGTTTGAGTTCTGAATGTGAAGCTATTAAACAAGATCAAAAAATACACCTGGAGAAATTAGAAGAACAACTGAGCAGAACCCATGGACAGGAAGTGAATGAACTAAAAAACAAGGTTTGGATATCTATGTATTTCAGAAGAAAAATGTTCCATGCTTATGCAGCAATCTGTAAACTTTAGGTGATGAAGATTTTTCTTAATACCATCTATGCAAAATAGCTGAGATCAAGAAGAGCTCTATGTTAATATGAGGCATGGGAACACTGAAACAAGAATTTACCTAAGGAATTTGTATAAATAACATTCTATTAGTTAAATACAATTATTTAATTTTTGTAACTAGATATTTGTTACAGAGTTTTGTTTTGTTTTTATATATTTTATTGATTTTTTACAGAGAGGAAGGGAGAGAGATAGAGAGTTAGAAACATCGATGAGAGAGAAACATCGACCAGCTGCCTCCTGCACATCTCCTAATAGGAGGCATGGGAACACTGTGAAACAAGAATTTACCTAAGGAATTTGTATAAATAACATTCTATTAGTTAAATACAATTATTTAATTTTTGTAACTAGATATTTGTTACAGAGTTTTGGTTTAGTGACCAGCATGAGCCGTTTTGCTTATAGTGAATAGTATGGCAGTCCTCTTCCAGAAAGACTAGTCCCCTAGTTTTCACTACAATTAGTGACACACTCTGTAATTCCACAACAGTTTCTTACAAATGTGTGTACATCAGAATTGATACTTTATAGTTTCTTTATTGAAGATAAACTAACATGATTCCGTTTTTTATAACAACTTCATAAGGGGGGTACCATTATTACCTCCATATAACAGTTGAGAAAACCATTGTTTAAGCCTACAGAGTAAGTGGGACATAATTACAGAGCTAGAAATTATCAGTCAAGATTTGAACTGAAGCTGATTCCCAAGCCTGTGTTGCTGCACTTAGTCTAACGGCATGTAATACTGGTTCCATTTCAAGCATAAATACAGAGTAAATGCTTGTTCAGCGAGTGTCCATTCCCTTTTGACACCCCATATACAGAGTGCCCTCAGGTTACTTGTAAAGAATCCAGAACTTTTATGATGGCTCCTCTTTGTATAGTCCATATTTTTCAAAATCCTCTCCAGTAAAACTTGTGTGACTTTTGTCCTGATTTCTCAGAAGTCTGTTTTCTAATTTTCAGTGTTTTGTGTGGCGTCTTTTAAGATTTTTCTCTATTTGTGTACTATCTATACTATTACTTAATTTCTCATTAAATTCCTTTTTAAATACTTTCTCATTTTAAAGTAATAATATCAGTAAAATGGCATGTTTTAACTGGTAATATTTTTTTCTAATATGCAACACAAGCATAACTATCAAAATATACTTTTGTGTAATGCTTAGAATCATCTCACATTCCACTCTGGCAAATAGTAATCCAGCTTGTCTGGAGTTAATCTTAGTTGAAACACCAATGACTGATAATGGTGCTTTTTCTCCCCACTCCTGAGTGTTGTTTTCATTTTAGCAGTATTTTTCATTATCTGCCCTAAACAAAAAAGTAATCTAGAAAATATTCAGAGATTGAGGCAAGGCCAATTATAGAGATGGCTTTTTGGTGGAGCAAATACTAAATCAGTCAAAAATATTTTCAGTCTTACTGAAGTTCTCAAATCACTTGCCATAAATGTGGAGCTTTATTTGTGATCTTTCATTTATTTCCCACATGTAACCTATCAACAAGTTCTAAGAGTTTGACTTACAAAACATCCATGTATACCACTGCAACTCTAGTTCAGGTCACCGTCATCTCTCTCCTAATTGCTATGCTACCCTGCGTCTTTCACTGCTGCTTATACCATTCATTCTTCACACAGCACCAGTGCTATCAGGAATCCAGACCTACCCTGATTACTTATATAGACTTATTTGTATGTTTATAAAACAAGGCATGTCACTATCTTAAAAGATGCCTAACCTTGGCCAAATATGAAGCCTCAACAGTCTCATCATGCAGTAAGTTTGAGTCAGTCAGTGATGTTTTTCAGAAAGGTGGCCATGTTTTCACATAAATCATTTAGTTGAAATTTTTATTTTACATTATGAAAGTAGAAAAGGGAAAACAAATCAAGCTAAGAGGCTGTGATTTTTTTAAATAGAAAATATATTTTAAAAATATATTCTAAGAATGTTGAAACCCTATTGACGATAATTCAATATAGATGATAATCATAACCCTGAACAATAAGTAAAAGCTTTTTATTAATAACAGGAACCCTTTAGTGAATGCTAGGCATGGTGCTATGTTTTATCTATGCAATCTCAGTTGAGAGTTGTGATGGTAGGTACAATCGTTTACCAGTGTTACATATGAGGAATGAAACTGACACAAGTTAAACCTAGACCTGACCCTAACACTTCACCCTTCTGCTCTAAATGTTCCCTGTAAAGCTATGTGTTCTTAGTCTTCCAAGATTTGGAACTATGTGACATTTTAGAAAGTTATTAAATAGTTCTGTTTAGGTCGATTATCTTCCAAAGTAGTTATCCTGCAGGTACAAGGACAATTTGTACTGCAGTTGTATGTTCTGATGATCTTCATTTATCTTTTGATTGAGATTGTTTTTGGTTTTTTATTCAACTTCAGGTAGAGAAACTAAAAGCGGAATTGGATGAAGCTAGGCTTAGTGAAAAGCAGCTGAAGCACAAAGTAGATCATCAGAAGGAACTCCTCTCTTGTAAATCAGAGGAAATTCGGGTAATGTCTGAACGTGTGCATGAAAGCATGTCTTCAGAGGTGCTGGCTCTTCAAATTGAACTGACAGAAATGGAAAGTATGAAGGTAATTTTTATGGCACATATGTTCTCAGGTTTTCTTCCCTTGCACATATTTTACATGTTTTTGTAATAATCCTTATGAGCTAGTTTTAAGGCTGAATTATTTTTTGGCCTTTTCTCTAACTAAAGAAGTGTTTACAGAGTTTTTAGGGAGATTAGTTCATGCATAATAAAGCTTTACATTAAGTGATTATGTAAGGCAGACTTTATCATTAGATTAATGAAACCTCTGGAAGAATTTAGAGACATTTACTCTGATCCTAGTTTGTATCATTTAAAAAAACCCCAATCTGAAATGTTGGTCCCGTGGAAGTTAAAATGCATATGAACGTAGTTTTTTCATTGCAGGCTAAGGATAATTAAAAATTAAAGCCTTAAATTCATAGGAAAGAAAGATAGTCTCTAGAGCCTTTTTTGTTCTCTGCTGAAAAATTTATTATTTCATTATGCACGTTATAAAACCTTTAACTAGTTCTTTAGTTTTAGGTGTGAATCATTGCTGATAGATCAACTGAGCGGCTGCTAAATAAAAGATTATTCAAGAGTTTCCTCTTTTTCAATTCCTATTGAATAGACCACCCTCAAGGAAGAAGTGAATGAACTGCAGTACAAACTAGAACAACTAGAACTTCTTAATTCTAATCTAATGCGCCAGGTCGACCGGCTTACAAAAGAAAAAGAGGAGCGAGAGAAAGAAGCGGTTTCTTATTATAATGCCTTAGAGGTATTATGATTGCAGTAACATCGCTTCCAATTCATAATAAGTTGTTTTCTTGCTAGTCTAATCTCTATTAGGTAAGTTGTTTTCTTTTTAATTTAGAAAGCTCGTGTAGCAAATCAAGATCTTCAAGTGCAATTAGACCAAGCACTCCAGCAAGCTCTGGACCCCAGTAGTAAAGGCAACTCTTTGTTTGCAGAGGTACTTACAAACATTCCATTGATTAAATTGGCATTTCACTTAATACAAGCATAATTACACATGTTAATATTTTCTAGGTGGAAGATCGAAGGGCAGCAATGGAACGAAGGTTTATCAGTATGAAAGTCAAGTATCAGTCACTAATGAAGCAAAATGCATTTAATAGAGAACAGATGCAAAGAATGAAGGTATGGAATTATCACCATCAAAGGTTTATTAAACCTTTTTTGTATCAGCTTTACATGTACAGATACATCAAAGAAAGCATCTTTTCCTTCAATGAGTGTACTTACAAAGTTATTTTTAGAACTGCATGATTTTAGAAAATCAGTATTTTTAAATTGAGCAAAAGATCCATTTATATTTTTAAAAATCCTATAGTAAAGACTTAGTTGTATATTTAGTACCCATTGGTTGTTTGATTTTGTAATAGTTACTCACTAGTCTTACCAGAGAGGTATAAATCTTTCTTTGTGGAGTGAAAAAGGAAGACTTACATGATTTTATTTCTTGCTGTTGGTTTGGTGTCTTTTTTCACATAGTCCTGAGATTTCTGCTTCAACTAAAAGTAGTTCTCTCATCCTTTAGTTCTCCCCCAAAAGCTTATATATAGGGTAAAATTTGAATTGCCTTTCCTTACAATTCCTCAAGTCAAGCATATAGGCCCTTTTAAATTTAAGGGTTTGTTAGTCATCATATTAGGCAAATAAGTGGTAACAGGAAAACATGTAGAAGTTGGAAAGATTTCAGTATTATACCAGCCTTAGAGTCCTGATCCCTGATCTGTATGTCTAACTGGGCTAAGATAGTAATTCAAAGACTGGAAGGTTTCCTGCCTTTTGTTTAGGATAATAAGATCTACCAAAGAAATAGGAAACCTTGATTAAACCTTGGTGTTTGAAAAACTTGGGATTGAATCCTCATTCTGTCACTTGCTAGCTGTGTGACCTTGGTCAAGTATTTTTACTTTTCAGAGCATCAGTAATCTGATCTGTAAATAGAGATAATAGAATCTGCCTCCTAGAATTGTCCTGGAGTTAAATGAAAGCATAGAAAAATTCTTACATGGGGCTTGGCAAATAAGGAAGTGCTACTTAATAAACAACAGCTTTGGCTTTTATTTCTAAGACTTTTGACTCTGCTGCCTGGTTTATTGAGGCTCTCCACTTTCTGGAAATGATTTCTTTGTAAATTTTCTCACATTTGCTCTTTGTTTTTCTTTCAATATTTGTTGAGCTCCTACTGTTAACCACCCAACATTCCAATGAAATCCCAAATTATCTTGAGATTGTAGATCTTCTTCTTTATTTTATTTTTTTTTAAACATATTTTATTGATTTTTTACAGAGAGGAAGGGAGAAGGAGAGGGATAGAGAGTTAGAAACATCAATGAGAGAGAAACATCGATTCAGCTGCTTCCTGCACACTCCGTACTGGGGATGTGCCTGCAACCAAGGTACATGCCCTTAACCGGAATCGAACCTGGGACCCTTCAGTCCGCAGGCCGACGCTCTATCCACTGAGCCAAACCGGTCAGGGCAATTGTAGATCTTCTTAGGCTAAGTGCATCTAGCCTCCAGTCTGAAGCAGGAACAAAAAGTGGATTCTTTAAAATGTTAGAAGTCATCTTTTTCTCTTCCGTGTAACTATTCCTGCTCCCTCATATCATTGCTTACTTTACTCAAAATTGTATTTAAACTAATTGGCACTTTTCAGAACTTCAGAAATATATGGAGGGAGAAAGAAATGTTAGGTATAGATTTTAGCTAATTTCCTTTCAATTGCTATGCAACTCTAGGTTTACATGAGGTCATAATTAGATAAGTTAATTCTGCTCTTAAAAAATAAATTGATATTTATATTGAATATCTCCTTTATATTCTTAGATTGCCTTTTACCCTTTGCTTTCCATCCTTGTGCTTTCTGAATCTCACATTTATGAATGTAAGTAGGTTAATAATTTCTCCCACTTAATATGATTGAAGTTAATTAAAATTTTTGAGAAACCCCATGAGACCCTAATGAGAGTGCAGCCTTTGTCCAGACTATTTACCAGTTAAGTGATGTGCTTACAGAACACACTATGCAGTTCAATTATGTCTCACAGAAGTACAAATAATTGTTACAGACTTTGGATATCATTCATAAGTAGTCAAAGTAACTAAATCTACTGGTGTAAAAGTTTCCAAGTTATTAGATCATTAGACTAGAAATAGCTAATTAGTTTAATTTCCAAAATGAATTCAAAGTAATATAGTACAAAATCTGAATTATACAAAAAATATAGTTATCAGAATCTTCCTCTCCCTCACTCAGTTTTATGGGGGGGGCGGTAATTTTTTTCCAGTTACAAATCGCCACATTGTTACAAATGAAAGGGTCTCAAACTGAATTTGAGCAACAGGAACGGTTGTTTGCCATGTTGGAGCAGAAGAATGGTGAAATTAAACATCTCCTAAGTGAAATTAGAAATCTGGAGAAATTTAAGGTACGTGTAACACCTTTTAAAAATGCAGCTAAATTTTGGGTTGAATATCTTAATACTTCTTTTTTACTTGAATAGGTTTCTTTGTTATATAATTAACATATAGTTTCAGTTGAGATTGACCAATATTTTTTTCCTTCTAGTTTCTTTTTGCTTTTCACTGGTTTTGACTGTTTCTTCTTTTAGTAGAGTCAGAGTAAACTAACCTTCCTCATACTTGTTATTATGTGAGTTGTAACTTAAAGTGCCCATATCTTAGTGTGTAATTCAGTGGGTTTTAACATGTCTCTTTTATTTATCAGCGTTAGAGTACAAATAGTCTTGAGCTTCAGAGAAATGGAATCGTTCATTATATCTCTCTTGTTCAACTCAACGTTCTGTCAGTGAGATTTGTTCCTCATGTTACATGTTATCAGTAATTATTTTTCATTGCTGTCCAGCTCCATTTTTTAAAATGTTTTTATTGATTTTAAAGAAAGAAAGGGAGAGGAATAGAGAGATAGAAACATCCACAGGCTGACTCCTGTATGCCCCCTACTTGGAGATCGAGCCCACAACCTGGGAATGTGCCCTGCCCAGGAATCAAACCAGAGACCTCTTAGTGCCTGGGTACATGCTCAACCACTGAGCACACTGGGCCAGCTCAGTATTTTCTTGGCTACTCTTGCATGATTGTTTTTCTCTTTGAACATCATATGTAACTTCAAAAAAACTTTGTTGGTATTTTTTATTAGAATTACATTAAATATAAATTAACTGTGAGAGTATAAATATCTTTTCACTAACTGAATAACTAAATAAAGTTTATAAGTGACAGATTTTAAAAATGTTAACCTCTTGAGCATTTTAAATTGTAGCCAGTAGTGTATTATGAAATTTTAAGTGTATGTAACCTTTTTATTTACTCTTATAAGAACTGTTGATCACAATTTTGGTTAAATTTGCAGTATATCAATTGTCAGGTTTATGTGGGCCACCAGCAGGCTTAGCACTATACTTTCAAAATTATGGCTTTAACCAGGAGGTTTTAGCCTGCAATTTTTAAAATTGTTCACAAGTTTTTAAGCAGTATATTATATATTTTTACCCTAGAGAAATCTTGCAGGGTTTCCATCAGAATCTCAGAAGAGCGGGCACCAAAAATAACTTTAAGGATCTCCACTCTTTCAAATTTTTCTAATTTATGGCTTTGTCATAAAATCGAGAATTAAACTCAGAAGTATTAATTTCTTCCATTTTAAAAGGAGAGGGAAATCAGAGGATGCAGGTATGGTTAGGAGCCTAGGCTTTGGAGACAGATCTGGGTTCAGATTCTTCTAGGTTTACTTGCCTGTGGCATCTTAAACTAGTTCTCTTATGTGTATGAGAGGGATGTTCATTCTTGCATCTAGTTCAGAAGGTAAGTGAGTTGAATGGATAGTGCTTGTTAGCACAGTGCCTGCTATGCGATAAGCATTCAATAAATGGTAGCTGATATTATTAATAAACATTTTGCTAACCTAATTTGTTATTTATTTTAATTAATAAGAATTGTTGCTTTATTTAGAGTTTATATGAAAGTATGGAATCTAAGCCTTCAGAGAACTCTGGTACTCTGAAAGATACTACCTATTACATGGATTTACTTCAGATAAAGCTTGACAACTCAAAGTAAGTGTTGGTTGGATAGAAAGATGGAGACTCTTACTTGTTTATAATAAGTAGAATTAGTGACTACATATTTTTGTTTTAATATTGCCAAAAAAAAAATCCAAAAAGGGAAGGTAACAAAAATATCTCTGGGCATTAAGCAAGATTTAGTCAAGATTTAATTAGTGCTGATTATTGAAGAAAAAATACCTTTAATGAATAATTAAATATTTTTATTTCTTTGTGTTTAGCTTTTTAGATTGGTAAGTGAAAATAAAGTTAACGTAGAAAATGTTCTTATAATCTAAATTTTTCAAGAATGAATATCATATAATTTTAAAGGAATTTATTCACACATGAATAAATGTGAAAAGAACATTTCCCCCCTTTGTTCATTTTCTTTAGAGAAAGCATGAGGTTTTTATTTTATTTAAAAGTGCCATTGTTAAAGCTTAAAATATATTTTTTGACTAAGTTCTAATATATAATAAAAGATTTGCACTAACATCTACACTTGTTTATATTATGTTATTTTAATATTCCTTGGTTCCCCTTTTTTATTGATATAGCAAAGAAAATGAAAGCACTAAAGGGGAATTGTCCATACAACAAATGAATGCATTATTTGAGAGCCAGCGGGCTCTGGATATTGAGCGAAAACTTTTTGCCAATGAAAGATGCCTCCAGTTTTCCCAAAGTGAAAATATGAAACTGAGAGCTAAAATAGATGAGTTAAAACTAAAGTATGAACCTGAAGGTATGTATAGCTTATAAATTTTGTCTTTTAATCATGAGAAGCTCTACAGTTCATTTTTATACAAATCCCATTACAAACGAATTGTATTTATAGTAAAACAGGCACTGCTACAAAATGTGTAGGAAAATTCAAAGAGAACTGGGTACTAAGTATGCATGAATATAATAGCTATTTTGGGATATCTGTATAGGAGAACCTTAACATTTGAGAGTTTTTCACTTAAGATTACAGCATCTCATGTAATGCCAAAGAGTTCCATTTTGTTGAGGCAACTGATGTTTGGGAGCTATGTTAGTTGATGCTGTTTATAGAAAACCTAAAATGAAGGAGACTTAAATAAGATAGGTAGTTATTCTTTCCCCTCATCAAAGTCTGGAGGAGGCATTCCAGTACTGGCCAGAGTCATACATCTTGAGCACAATTTAGTCATGGCCTCATCTGCCTACAAGTAAAGCTGAGAAATGCAGTCTTTTTCTCAGGGTCCATGTTCCCATGGATGGAATCTTGGAGAGTCTGTTATTAAGGAAGAATAGTAGAACCAAATATTAGAATGCAGCTAGTGAGTATAATCACTCAGAAAAGACCTATTTTATACACTTAAAGAGAGTGATTTTACTATACCTAAATCCTATATAATAAAATCCTAATATGCTAAGGGTCTGGTCGACTGGTTGGCTGTTCAGCCAATCAAAGTACAATATGCTAATAATATGCTAAGGCCTCTCAACGGCTCGCTATAGCATGCACTGACCACCAGGGGCAGATGCTTCGACTGGTAGGTTAGCTTGCTGCTGGGGTCCGGCCAATTGGGACTGAGCGAGATGGGCTGGGCACGCCCTGGAGCCCTCCCGCGGTCCCTCCCCTGCTGGCCAACCTCCTGTGTCCCTCCCCGGCCCCAGTCATGTACCGATGGGGTCCCTCGGCCTGGCCTGTGCCCTCTCGCAATCTGGGACCCCTCGGGGGATGTTGGAGAGACGGTTCGGCCCGATCCTGCAGGTCAGTCCGAGGGACCCCACTGGTGCACGAATTTGTGCACTGGGCCTCTAGTCCTACATAATAAAAGGCTAATATGCAAATAGACTGAACAGTGGAACAACCCCAACAACCAGTCGCTATGACGTGCGCTGACCACCAGGGGGCATGTGCAGAACATGGCGGGCGTAGACCATTGGGGGATAGTGGAGCAGGTGAGTGGAGGCACCAGACCAGACAAGGGCAGGGTGCTGGTCTCTGTCATCGAGGTTACTGAAAATTCTTTGCTTCCGCGTGCCACAGTCCCACCCGGTGCTGGCACCCGCTGCCGGCGCTGGCCCCACTCCCACCTGCTGCTGGCACTGGAGCCACCATTTGCGTCCACTGCCCATGCCTGGCGCTGGTCCCGATCACTCAGTGCCATCAGTGGGTGTGAGTGGCGGCTGCTGGCCCTGATCGCCCTTGAGGGCTTCTCCACCTGCCCCTGCTCCTGAGGGGTAATTGGAGCGGCAGCTGCTGCTCAGTCCCCTGACGGCGCCAGCCCCACTCTCACAGCTGCTGGCGCTGGCCCCAATCGCTCTGCGCCGTCAGCGGGTGTGAGCGGTGGCAGCGGGAGCGGGGCTGCCAGCAGATGGGACCAGGACTGGGCGGGGGCGTGGAGGATGGGCCAAGACCCGCCCCTGTGCCTACCGCAGCCTCGCAGCCCACAGTTCCTTTCAAGCTGCATGAATTCGTCACTGGGCTGCTAGTTAAGATATAAAAGGCCAAAAGTAAATAAGTCTAAGAATGTGATGGTTCTTGTACAAAAAAAAAGTGTTATTACTTGTTTTAGGTTATAGATTTTTCAGCAGTTTTTGTGTCTACACTGTTCATATGCCTAACATTCTATTTTCATTACTGTTTCAATGACTGGAGTTATTCTCAAGAATAATGGGAAAGCTGTCAGCAGTAGTAAGGTGTTTTTAGTTAAAAAGGCTTCTTTTTACCTAATTCTCATAGGCTCTCCTGATTAAGAATTAATCCATTTTCAATTTCAAAGGTTGCTGAATTGAATGAACATAGCATAGAGACTTGAGGCAGTATAGTGAACCTAGGTGATGTGGATTTTAAAGGAGCAGTGGAAGAAAAAGGGAAAATAATCCTATATAATAAAAAGCTAATACGCAAGTGGTCATCACATCCTCATGCCCTCGCGCCCTCGTGCCAGAACTACTTAGCCACTCAACACTGGGGAGAGAGAAATGGGAACCAACCAGGCACAAATGAGCTCGCAAGAGAGGAATGGGGACCAGCAAGGGTGCAGCCCGGGAGAGGGACAAGCCACACACCCCATGGTCCCAGGTGCCTGCGACTGCAGCCCAGTTAAAGCCGCCCGCCCACAGTCCCCTGCAGCTGTGGCCGGCCCAGGTGAAGCCAGCCCGGGTCCTGGGTGCCTGTGGCCGGCCAGAGGGAGGGTTGCTCGGGTCCTGGATGCCAGCGACCGGCTGGAGGAGGGAATCCTGGGTCCCAGGTGCAGGACAAGGCAGAGGCATTTAGGGGTGATCAGGCCGATAGGGGAGCAGTTAGGGGTGATCAGGCAGGCATGCAGGCAGGCGAGCGGTTATGAGCCAGTGGTCCCAGATTGCGAGAGGCAGTTGTACATCCGCCAAGAGGTCCTGGAGTGGAGAGGTTGCAGGCTGGGCTGAGGAACCCCTCCTCCCCGCCTCCCTGCATGAATTTTGTGCACCAGGCCTCTAGTGATTCTATAATGTCCATATAGAGCAGGAACACCACCCACACTAGACCATGGTTTCTCCAACTTCACTAAAAGTTTTATTTTGAAAATTTAAGACATGTTGGTATGAGGACAGGGAAGACGTATTAGAGCATTTAATTCAGTGACTGGATGTGGAGCCGCATAGGGAATGGAGTGGTGTTAATGTTAAGCAGTGGAGCTAGAAGGCCATTGTAGTAGTCTGCAGTGAGATCTAATAATATGGTTTGAACAAGGGAGGTATCCATTGTAGAAGAACTCAGGTTTTGAATATATTTTGTAGGGGAGGCTAATAGGCACAAGTTATCATATTCAGAGAATCTGACCTGTTTTTGTGTTTTGTTTTCACTTCATCCTTACAAAACCCAATATTGAATCAAGTGGGTACTTTTAATTCCCATTTTAAAGATAAAGAAAATCTCAGAGAGGTTAAATACTCCCCAAGGTCATCCAGCTGCAGAGTGCTTGTGTACTAGGATTTTGACCTGGATTCCTTGACTCTTAGCCTCGGGATGCTTCCTCATCTTCACACTATGATCTTATGAAGCCCCAAGCAACTTTTATCACAACACCAGAAAAGAACATTGAAGTGTTCATTCCTAGAGGCAGATATATTGAGTTCCCAAAGAAAGTGACAGGCAGGCAGATGACCTTAAAAGACAAAATTAATGGAGTCCATGACAAAGAAAGATAAAAGTAACAAAATATTTACTAAGGCAATGAGTGGGTTTTAAAAGAATGGGGGAAGGAAAACTGTATAACTAGTTCTACCTCTTTATGTGGATTGTGTCCTTGATTTATTAACTGGATATATTTTTAATGATTTTATTCTCAGAGAAAATTGAGGTGCCTGTACTCAAAAAGAGGCGTGAGGTACTGCCTGTGGATATAACCACCCCTAACAATGTATGTTCTAACGATGCTGTTGGGGAAGAAGTTTCTAGATCACCATCTCAGAAAGAGGAGGCACAGTCCTGTCCTAGCAACTTAAAAGATAACAACTTACAGTTAGAAAAGACAGTTGCTGTAAACATACCAGGAATTACTCTCTCTCCTCACAAAAACCTGACTGTGAACATTCAGCCAACGAAGGAAAAGAAATGTGTGAAACTTGTAGAAGTTCCAGCCATGAGTGAAAGAAGTGGAAACTCCCCTGGAAACTCCCCTGACTCTCGCAGGTCAGTGTCCTCTCTTATTCAAGGCATCCAGCACTTCTCTCCATCTCTTCCCTATGACTGCATGAACTGTACTGTTTCTTCATCTGTTTTCTTAGTGTTACATGCAGTATAATTTCTTCTCTATGCTTTCAACATTTTTAAAATTTTAAGAAAGACTAAATGATTGAAAGGGGGAAAGGACTTCTGAATAAGGAAATTATGTTTTAAAGTTACACTTTTCTGTTTCATGAAACAATGATCACAGTTTAATACCTCTGAACATTTTGTTGGTTTGGATAAGTGTACAGTTATTGTTTTCCTGGTTCAATAGGAACCAGGCCAGCCAGGTGTTGCTCAGTGGTTGAGCATTAACTTACAAACCAGGAGGTCTTGGTTCAATTCCCGGTCACAGCACATGCCCGAGTTGCTGGCTCCATCCCCAGTAGAGAGGCATGCAGGAGGCTGCTGCTCAATGATTCTCTCTCAACATTGATGTTTCTATATCTCTCTCCCTCTCCCTTCCTCTCTGAAATCAATAAAAATCCTATATAATCAAAGGCTAATCTGCAAATTGTCCCCTGGGGAGTTTAACCAATCAGGAGTTCAACTGCTCACTATGACATGCGCTGACCACCAGGGGGCGGCAGCCAGCAGCCAGGGGATGGAAGGCCCTGATCGGCCCTGATCACCGGCCTGGCCTAGGGACCCTACCCTTGCATGAATTTCGTGCACCGGGCCTCTAGTATATTAAAAGAAAAGAAAAAAAAGAGTGGTGATTAAAGAAAAATCAACTTACCTCCTAAAATGTCTTTCTAATGGTCTAAGAAATTTTAGCCTTTTGGAAAACTTCGATAAAATTTTTAATTGATTTTTTAAATGATTTATCCTAAGCCTTTAAGTATGGGCTTTGATACCTGTTTTGACATTTTTAAATATCAAAGGTAAGTTCATTTTTTTTAAAAAAAAATATGTTTTTATTGATTTCATAGAGGAATGGAGAGAGAGAGAGAGATAGAAACGTCAATGATGAGAGAGAATCATTGATCAGCTGCCTCCTACATGCCCCATACTGGGGATCAAGCCTGCAACTCAGGCATGTACCCTTGTCTGGAATCAAACCTGAGACTCTTCAGTCTGTAGGCCTACACTCTATCCATTGAGCCAAACCGGCCAGGGCAAAAGTAAGTTCATTTTTGTTTTATATCAAAACTTCAAAGCTTCTAGTTTCTGAATATTTGAATTTTTACAAAAATAGAAAATGTCTAGACATGTATAACTTTAGAAACTCATGTTTTAAGAGCCTTAGCCTTAAAAAAAAATTAAAGTAATAGAGGTCAAAAGGTAAGAACGAAAGTGGAAGAGAAATACCTCGTCATTGTTTATTTTTTCTTAAATAATTATTCTGCTAGTTGAAACTCAATTTGATTTCTTTTATGAGACAAATACACATCTATTTATGCAGCCCAGGATCTCATGTTATTTTTACTTATGCATTTTGCTTTTTAAATATTACTAGAGGCCCGGTGCACAAAAATTTGTGCACTCGGGGGGCAGGGAGGATCCCTCAGCCTGGCCTGTGCCCTCTCGCAGTCTGGGACCCCTCAGGGGATGACCACCTACTGTCTTAGGCCCACTCCCCGGGGGATTGGCCTAAGATGGCAATCAGACATCCCTCTTGCTGCCCGGCAGCCCGCGAGGGATGTCGACTTGCCAGCGGGGAGCAGGCCTAAACAGCAGTCGGACATCCTTAGCACTGCTGAGGAGGCAGGAGAGGCTCCCACCACCACCGCTGTACTGGCAGCCATCAGCTTGGCTTGTGGCTGAGCAGAGCTCCTCCCATGTGAGAGTACCCTGATCACCAGAGGGCAGCTCCTGCATTGAGCGTCTGCCCCCTGGTAGTGACCAGTCATTCCCAATCCTTCTGCTGTTAGGGTCAGTTTGCATATTACCCTTTTACTATATAGGATAGAGACCTGGTGCATGGGTGTGGGCCGGCTGGTTTGCCCTGAAGGGTGTCCCGGATCAGGGTGGGGGTCCCCACTGGGGTGACTGGCCAGCCTGGATGAGGGGATGATGGCTGTTTGCAGCTGGTCACACCCCCTTCATGGTGGGGGTCCCCACTGGGGTGCCTGGCCAGTCTGGGTGAGGGGCTGAGGGCCGTTTTCAGGCTGGCGGGTGACTGAAGCTCCCAACCTCTCCTTTTTTTCTTTTTTTTTTTATTCTGGGATTTATTTACGTTCTATGGCTGTCACTGGAGCTGAGAGCCTCTCCTTTTTTTCTTTTTTTTTTTATTCTGGGATTTATTTACGTTCTATGGCTGTCACTGGAGCTGAGAGCCAGCTTTAGCTCTGAGGCTCGGCTCCAGCTTGAGGCCTCGGCTGCTGAAAGCAGGTATCTGGGTTTGTTTGGCTTCTATAATTGAAACACTGTTGCAACTCCAGCTCTGAGGCCCGGCTGGCTGAAAGCAGGTTTCTGGGGTTTGTTTAGCTTCTATAATTGCAACATTGTTTCTTAGAGTGCAGCTCAGAGGCCGGCAGCGGCAGGCGGGGAACCTTGGCTTCCTCTATCACTGGAGCAAGCAAGCCTCCTGTTGGCTTCAGCTGCCTGGCTGCTGGCCGCCATCTTGGTTGGCAGTTAATTTGCATATCGCCCTGATTAGCCAATGGGAAGCATGTCGGAGGTACAGTTAATTATCATGTTTGTCTATTATTAGATAGGAGGATGTTAGCATTAGACTAGTGCTGCAGCATTTGAAACCTTTTCACTGGGCATGCTTCTTATGATAGGCACCCTCATTATATTTTAGTTTTAATTTAGGCTTTGCCATGACTTTTTATCAACCTTAAAGATATTTCTTTAGACATTTAAAAAAGGCAGTCTATTGACATAAAAAGATTCTTTTAGAGACTCAGTGACTTAGTTTTCGTAATGGTATTAGAGTCAACTAAAATGTTTTTCCTTATATAAATAGAAAAATCACCATATCTTATTAGAGGCCCATTATACTAGAGAATTCTCCCTTCTTTCTTTTTCTTTTTCTTTCTTTTATTTATTTATTTATTTTTAAAATATATTTTATTGATTTTTTACAGAGAGGAATTTTTACAGAGAGGAAGGGAGAGGGATAGAGAGCCAGAAACATCGATGAGAGAGAAACATCGACCAGCTGCCTCCTGCACATCCCCTACTGGGGATGTGCCCGCAACCCAGGTACATGCCCTTGACCGGAATCGAACCCGGGACCCTTCAGTCCGCAGACCGACGCTCCATCTACTGAGCCAAACCGGTTTCGGCTTCTTTCTTTTTCTTAACCACACTTGAATTCAGAGTGGGTGCTTTAATGCCTGTAGGTTAGCTGCTGAATCAAAGCTTCAAACAGAAGTTAAGGAAGAAAAAGAAACTGCAAGAAAATTGGAAAAGAAAACTTGTAAGAAATCACACCCTGTTCTATACGTGTCCTGTAAATCAACTCCAGAAACTCAGTGCGCTCAGCAGTAAAGACTAATCTTTAAGAAGAGTAAAGTTAAGACTTGCCCAAAAGGTTGCTTTGGAGGTTGTCTTCAAATTAAGATTGTCTTCATCTGAAGTATACCACCTTGTTGGTTACTTCTTTCTACTCACTGTGCCAGGACCTGGCATCTTCATACTGTTTTGACCAAATGTTCTAAATTTGGTTGTGATTCTAAGCAGGAGATTTCTTTAAGTGATGGTCCTTCATGGAGCTTCTGTGTGAATAAACTATTAAATGAAGGATGGTGTTGTTATAAATCTATTTGTTGCATTGGATTTGTTATATGGATTTATTATATGGATCTATTTGTTATATGGATTTTTAAGTGATATTAACACATACCATCAGAGCCATATATTATATTGTAACTGGATTTTGTCAGTGTTTAAAGTACCTATGTTCATCTTTGTATTTTTGACTCTAAACTTTCTAAATAAAAATTTTTTTCCCTTTAAATGATTATAGACTGGTCTATGACTTAATTTCATATATACTATAGGTGGGTGTATTACTCTGTATCAGTGATTTTCAACCTTTTTCATCTCATGACACACATAGACTAATTATTAAAATTCTGTGGCACACCAAAAAATATATTTTTTGCTGATCTAACAAAAAGAGGGGAGTATAATTTTGATTCATTCACATCAGATAGCTATTGTTGTGTTGACTGTGGTCATTTATTTATTTGACAATCTAAGAGAAAAGAGGTCAGAGCCCCTGACTAAGTAGTCAGGTATTGCATGTTTTATAAAGTCTTGCAGCGCACCAGAGTATCTGCTATGGCACACCGATTGAAAATTGCTGGTCTATACTATATAGAAAGAGGCAGAGAGATTTATTTTAAGGAATTGGCTTACGTGCATATGGAGGCTGGCAAGTCTAAAAGCAGCAGTTCAAAAGGTGTCAGGGTGGAGACACACAGAAGAGCCAATGTCACAGTTTAAGTTTGAAAACTGCTACAGAATTCTACAGTGGGGGAGGTCAGTCTTTGTTCTATCTAGGGTTTCAGCTAATCACCTGCATAGGCTCACCCATGTTATGAAGGGAAATCTGCTTTACTCAAAGTCCACAAATTTAAATGTTAATCTCACCTAAAAACATTCTCACAGAAACATCCAGAATAATGCTTAACCACATATAGCCCAACCAAGGTGACATACAATTAACTATCACAGTAGGTTAGTTAGGTAAGTCTATTGAAATGTATTAGGTAAAAGGAAATTGCCTCTTCTAAATAAATCAAATAAACTTAATTTATTGCAAAAAGCATACCCTCAGGAAATTAGATATTGCACATTAAATAACATCTCTTGCCAAAAGAAGTAGCTGAAGGCACTAGAAAACTATTTTAAACTGAGAAAAATAAATGAATAGCTTATTCATTGCATATTATAGAATGTAGATCAATTTCTTCCAATATTGAGTTTTTACTATGAGCTATGAGTTAGGAGTGCAAAAATAATCCTTCATAGCTCTCAATGTAGTAGACCCACATAAATGAGTAATGGTAGTAGTGGTATTACTAGTATTAATAGTTATATCTAACATTTGAATCACCTAATGTGCCAAGCACTGTTTTAAGCCCTTTCATGTGCTGCCACATTTAACCTCATGTTTGTGCGGTGGATATTATATTTAACTTATTCTCATTTTACAGATGAGGAAACCAAGGCCTCAAAGTGGTTAAGTTACCTGTCCAAGGGCACAGGTGTTAGTGGGTGGTGAAAAAATTAAAAGAGTGGTAGAAGTTGTAATAGAATATCCAAAGTGCTAAAGGGACTGAGAAGGAAACAAGAAACCGCCTGGCGGCTTTTTACTTTTTTAAAAAACCTTTCAGCTTAGATTCCTTCAGAGGTTTCCCAAGGCATGGAGAGAATAGCATTACAGCAACAACTACAATCAGCAACAACAATCTTTGGTGAGGGGAGAAATCTGATTTCTAGAGTTGGCACATGATAATTCTCAAAATGTCCAATTTTCAACAACTATTACAAGGCAAGAAACAAAGTATGATCCAAAAATAAGAAAAAATAAACTTTGCCAGACATTGGACTTCCTAGACAAAAACTTTAAATCAACAATTTGAAATATGCTTAAAGAGCTAATGACATAAAAACAATGGCAAATAGAGACTACCAATAAAGAGAAATGGTTAAAGGAACCAGATTGGCACTGTGGAGTTGAAGAGTACAATAACAAATGAGAAGCTCACATTCAACAGCAGATTTGAAAAGCAAGTAGAAAAATAAGTAAAATTAGAAGATTGGGCAGTTGAGATCATTCTGACTGAAGAACAGAAAAGCATAAAGAAAAATGAACAGTGCCTAAGAGATCTATGGGGCACAATCAAGCATGGAAATATATGTAAACCTAAAACTGTTCTAACAAAAAAAGGCTCTCTCTGTAATTTGAAAAGTGAGTGGGGGGCTGGGGGGAAGCACAAGAGAAAATGAGGGGCCTAGTAAGACAAAAGAACCACAATATCAGAGGACTCAAATCTACTCTGCCACTGACAACACAGACTATTAAAGACTGTACTTCACTATGATGACAGAAGGGGGCACCCTTTGACTAGGAACCTTGTAAAAACACCCCAAAATTTACATGACAAATAGGCAAAAACACAAACCTTTTATAAGAAGGAAACAAAAAAATAAGACTACCTTGTGAACTGATGACCCCACCAAAACCACTCAGCCCTCACCTTCCAAAAGCCATATGAAGGTGAAGCAAAGTATAACTTTCTTCTAAATTCTAGAACACTCAATGCTATTGAATTTTTTAAATAGAGAAAAATCCTCAAAAACGCACCCACACAAAAAAAAATCAAGCACTTACAGAGGCAAGAGAATTAATCTGACATCAGACTTCCCCAGAACAGTATTCAGAAGAAGGCATTAATCATACAGACTTAAAAAGAACTTTAAGGAAAGAAATTGTAAATCTTGGATTTTATTTGCATTGAAGTTGTTCTTAAGGCATCAAGGCTATAGGAAAACCTTTTAAAAATGACAAGAAGGATTTTTTTGTACCCGTGAACCTCCTTGAGTAATCTCTTAAGAGTAATCATCCCAGCAAAAGATGACTGGGAAAACTTTTGAAGAACTGAACTAAGAAATAAATATATTGTGGATAATTGGAACCAGATTTTTCATTGTTGGAGAAGAAAATTCAACTAAATGAGGGGAGCCTTGCCAATGTGGCTCAGTGGTTGAGCATCGACCTATGAACCAGGAGGTCATGGTTCGATTCCCGATCAGGGCATATGCCCAGGTTGCAGGCTTGATCCCCAATCATGAAGGTGGCAGCCAATCAATGGTTCTTTCTCATCACTGATGTTTCTATCTCTCCCTCTCTCTTCTCTGAAATCAATATATATGTATTTAAACCAACTAAATGAGGGGGAAGGCTAAATGAATGAAAAAGGCTAAAAATGACTACTATGGTGTTGGATTCCATATGAACTCGGTTTTTGAGAGATTTTTAAAAATTATATATATATATATATATATATATATATATGTATATATATGTATATATATAAATATGTGCACAGATATACAGACACATTTACACACACACACACACACACACACACACACACACACACACTTCCTAGCTCTATGCTGATCCTTAGAAAATGGCATCTCAATAGCAATGAGCTCATCCAGCACAGCTAGCACCCAGATCTTGGTTTCATAATGTCATTCTCTACTAAGTGAACTATTTCTTTGAAAGATGCTTACTTTCAGTAAACATCTTGTTCCCAAAAGAAAGAAAGTGCTTCAATGATGGGGACATGTCAAAATGACATGGGCGCCAGCTTGAAGTGGCTTCCACTGTCCAAATCTAGGACAATTTGAGCCTCTAAATAAATGATGGTGATGGATTATATTGAGTAGGATAAGAAACCATGAACCCATAGTTTTGAATAAATACATTAATAAATTAATAAAGAAGGGAAAGCTTTTTCTCACAGTAGACTCTCATTTAATACATGTAGAAAGAATGGTAGAAGTCAAAAATAACTACTTGGTAATTAAGTGATTCAGAAAAGAATTATCAATAGTTGCTAAAACTAGTGGACTAAAAGTATGATGAGCCCATGGGCACTGTGGCTCAGTTTTTTGGAGTGTCATCCCATACACCAAAGGGTTGTACATTTGGGGCATGTACAAGAGGCAACAACCAATGTTTCTCTTTATCTCTCCCTCTTAGAATGAATAAATATGTCCTCAGGTGAGGATTAAAAATAATAATAATAAAATAAAAGTATGATGAGTTACAGGCTATTTACATCATCTCATGGTTTCTCTCCACAAATACACATTAATTACAATGTGAAAAATAGTAAACTTCACATGGAGAAACCTAGAAGCCCTCACCCTACTCAATGATCAAAGTTCACAGCACAGTAATAGGATAAATTGATAGTGTGCATGTCCTGCCATAAAATGCATAACTTGCATCTAATCATGACAAAACACCCTGAAACCCTAACTGAGGGGCATTCTATTTAATAACTGGCCTGTAATCTTAAAAATGCCGAGATCATGAGTGACAAGTAAAGGTGGAAGAACAGCCCTAGCTGGTTTTGGGCTCAGTGGTTAGAGCACTAGCCTTCAGACTGAAGGGTCCTAGGTTTGCTTCCGGTCAAGGGTACGTACCTCGGTTTCAGGCTTGATCCCCAGTAGGGGCTATGCAGGAGGCAGATAATCGATGATGTTCCTCCCATTGATTTTTCTATCTCTATCCCTCTCCCTTGTCTCTCTAAAAATCCAATAAAAACATTTTTTTTTTAAGGTAGAGGAACAGATCCTGTTAAAGAGAGACATATAGCAAGTGAATGCAACTTGTGATATGTACTTTCCTTTGGCAACAGAAAACACTAATGGGACTACTGGAGAAATTTGATTGAGGACTTTGATTAGCTGATAATATCGTGTCAATTATAATTTCCTGAATTTCATCATTGTTTTTAAGAAATACCCTATGAAGTGTTTAGAGGCAAAAGGGCATCATGTCTGCATCTTATTC